TTACGGGGTTCAGGAGGAAGGCGTGGGAGAGCATTTGTGAGGTAGAAGTGCCATGCAGAGATTCCCCAGGCGGATGCGTGGCCAGAGATGACGTTGTATTTGAAGGCGGCGAGTTCGGGCCACAGTGGGAACTTTTGCCAAAATATCGAGTCGGTGATGATTGTGGAGAAGAGGCCAATGGTTATGCCAGATATGGCGGCGGGAAGAATGTCGCTACGCAGGTTTACGCGCTTTTTGGCCCAGAGGTCTGCGGTTGTGGTTGCTAGGAGGAGGGCGATTTCTGAGCGGAAAACTATACCTGCGATGGTGAGAAGGTAGAGGCTAAGACGGTATCTTTTGCGGGATTGGATATTCTGTACCGCTGAAGAGGGTTCGGGGAGGAGATATCGGAATGCAAAAGTGGCTTTGAATTAAATTTGTTCAGTATCATGGCTGTTATTCAGAACGCAGATATTATGTGGGAGGGAAAGTGGTTGAGACTTACTGATACCGAAAGCGAACATATTTGGAAGGGTCCTAGAGGCATAATATATGACATGGAACTGGCTGGCTTGGAATAAAATATACCAAACCGCAACATCCTTACCGAATGCACGTCGAACGCCTCTGGCATATGAAATGAGTGCAAAGACATTAAAGCAACCCACGATCCCCCGCACTGGAAACGAAGTTAGCTTATGTACCCAAAGAGACCCTCGTAACTGAATAGCCTATGGGGGATCTTCTATATAGCGGTTTTATGTAGCTTCTAACCTAGTAATTGCCAATGAATCTGCGAACTAATCCACATAAAAGGTTTGGCTATTCCCGCGACTATCAAAGCCCCAACGAAGGTGCGCGGGACCGCACCAGGGAAAGAGAAATGATCATATTGGGTGCGGAATCTGTTCTTTGCATTCTTGGTCGGTATCCCATAAGTGGAAATGTCGTGTATGGCTTGGATGTTGAAAGATTCCTCGACTTTTGTGTAGGGCGAAACGTAGAGGTGGAGGAGGATGAGGCCAGGAATGAGCGAGAGCAGGAACCAGTCTGCAGCCAGTCAGTAATTATTCATTGAACGTTTGGAAACTGGATGCTCGAGGGATATTTAATTATGCTTGTATAGCGTATATACCACTTACCTGTTAGTCTCGGCATTGTCTCTTTCCTGCGGTGGTTTGGAGAAAGGTCTTCTTCTCACTGATAAATCGCGGAGGCTTATTTATTTCTAACGAGTGTCGTCACCAACTTTCATTCTGTCAACGTTTCGCATTCCTCACCCAACAACGCCCTCCCGCACCGCTACACCTTCATATTCGATGTGAGGGCGGTGGCCATACACCAAAAAGCTCTCTGCATCCATGCGAAGATAACCTCCACTTGGCCACTAAAAGGACACCATGTTTCTCTTCGGCCTGGGGAAGCTGATTTATAGTATGTTCCGTGCCTGACTACATTCACATAGATAGCTACCTACAGACTCATCTCCTTAGCATGGGATAGCACGCGGCAGTACATGTTTTTATTGAAGGAGGGTAACAATGTACTAACACAAGATTCTTGTTTTGCAGTCATCGTCCTCATCATAAACGCCATCGCTATCCTCTCTGAAGACCGCTTTTTGGCTCGCAGTACGCATCCCATCTCTAAGCTCCCCCCCCCCCCCCCCCCCCCCCCCCCAAAAAAAAAAAAAAAAAAAAAAACACGCTTGGTGCACACACGTGTCGACAAACATGCATAGAAATACAAAATTCAGACTAACACACTTAATCGTGTAGTTGGTTGGGGCCGCACACAGTACGATCCCGGCTTCGGCGCCGCCGTCCCCGACAACACAAGCATCAAGGCGAAATCCGTCAATCTAATAGCAAGCGTGCGGACGGTTATGAGAAGTACGTTTTCAAGAATGATTTGTTTTACTCTGGCTTCTCTTTTTCCTTCTTCTCATTTTCACTCTCAAGAAAATGCGTCAACAGTGGGATAGTTAATACGCTGACACCATGTTCTTTGTCAGTTCCCCTCATCATAATCAATCTAATAATCATAATTTACGAAATCGTTTTGGGATAGAAAAGGCAGAGGCGGGAGAGGGGACGGGAAAAGGGCAACGTTATAACATCATATTTACCCACTTTCTTATTTCTTTTGATATCCATCTCTCTATTTCCTCTGGTTTTTCATAGTATCTACCCTTGCTGTCTCCGCCAATTTACATACATTCCAAGCTTCATCACACCAGCAGCTGAGAGAATATAAAACAAAATATTTCAATATTTCAATCCCTCGAACTTATACGGACCTTCGCACTCCCATCGGGAGCATATCGACTATGAAAAGTTGTCTGCGTGGCATACGATTAGCCTCAGGCAAGTCTCATGCATCTCTAATCGGGCATTGGAAAGATACGTGCGAAGAAGGCCAGTCGGGCCATTAGCTTTCTGAATAATAAAGAAGGGATATGTAGTAAATAGCGACAGAGAGAAGAAGGTATTATTAGAATAAGATTGCTTTGAGACACGCATGTGGAGAGAACGAATTGTAACAGGCGCACAACAACCCGCAACAGGACTCGGTTCGCGAAGAACTCCCAACCCGACAGCGCTGGTGGTTAATTATTAGGCATGAAAAGGAGTTGAATAGCCATATAAAATGAAGATCTTGTTCCACCACTCCCTCCTCTGCGTTCTACTTTCCGTTCCGTCGAGCAGCATCAAGACGACTCTTAAAACCAAAGAAGAAGAAAGATAATCTGAAATGGAAACAGAATTAAGACATGAACAGAGCCGCTCACTTCAGAAAAAATTTAAAAAAAAAAAATCCAAGCATTCAGTGAACGTAAATAGCCTACCTAACCAAAGCCATAGCCAAAGCCGAATCCCAAACCAAACCAAGCCAGCCAGCAATAATGAACATACAAGATAAGGTAACAAGAGAAAGAAGAATGAATTTAAATTCTACATTGAAGGGAGAAAAAAGGGGAACATGGTATATATGGATATGGACGGCAGATGTCACGAAACAAAGAAACAGAGATAAGAAAGGGGCGAAAGGTTATATGCAATAACAGATTAGGGCAGAAGGGAACGAATTCCGGCGTAGGACGTCAAAATAAATGCCATCGACTTCTTTCATTTGGGATTTTCCAATGGTAGATGACGTTAAATAGCACATGCAGATTGTGTTGTACATGTACATATAAGCAAAGGAAATGAGAAAATGTAATAAAGTTTTGTGTGTGCGAGTGTGAGAGGAGAGAGCGAGAAGAGATAGAGGCGACAGACGGATGGCGATTTCCAAAAAATATCACATGTGGCAAGGATGACCATGGTTGATTGCTACAAAGCGCAGAGCGAAAGTAATATGAAGTACCCAAACTATGTTACGCTGAACGATTTCCTTCGTAGACTGAACCCGGCTGCGTTTGGGTGTTGCATGCTTCACTGAGTTTCCGTTATTTTCGTGACCGTTGCCATTGTGTGTTTGCTTCTTATTTTGATCGTGGTTGATATCGTAACTGCGAACATGATTGTGATTGTGATTGGAATTGGTATGCCGACTGGTATGGTTGATGCTGTTGGAGACTTCTCGTGGTCGTATCTTCATATTATTGAAAAAGTTTGATGGGTTTGGTCGTGGTTTCGGGTTTTCGTTTTGGCTACGGGAGGTAGAGTCGACTGGCGGATTGGAATATACTTCATCCTTCAAAGGCCAATTGTTGCTAAGATTGCTCTCTGCGACTGGGCTCTTGGGGTCTGCAGCGGCGGATGGGAGCGGTAGGGACATTGGGAGTACGGGTATTGGCGGCGGCTCTGTCGATGATTTTGGACCCTTCTCTTTATCTCTAGAATCTAATATGCCATAGCTCAAACTCCTACTGCCTAGTTTGAACCGACCAAGACCTCCTGCCGTTCCTCCGGGTTGGCCGTTCTCCTTACCGTTGCGAGGAGTTGCAATACGGCGGTCCTCCTCTGCCTTAGAAGCTTTACTAAGTTCCAAAGCCGTCTTGAGTTCGGCGTCTTGGCGCTTAATTTCCTCCTTCAGTTTAGCCTCCAATTCCTTTCGTTTTTGCTTCTGTGCCTTCTCCTTCTCCTTCTCTGCAGTTTTCCGTTCCTTCTCTTCCTTTGCGCGTTCTTTTTTGAAGATAATGTCGCTCTTTTTAGAATTTAGGTTGGTCGAGCTGGGCATCACAGGGGTCTGAGGAAGGTGTGGGAGAGGTGGGAGACTAGGCGTCGCATTCTCAGGATGGGTAAATGGTTCCGGTGCAGTTAGTATTCTTTTTAGGGGCGAAGTTGGTGAAAGATCTGCGGAGGGGATCACGGTGTTTCCTCGATTGGTTTCATCGAAACCAGTAGTAGACCCGTTCATTTTGGGCTGCGAAACGGAAACTAAATCCTTGGTGTCCACCGATGCTCGATTCATTGAAGTCATACCTTCTTTTTCCTGTTCCCTTTGCATGGCTTCAAAAGTTGTTTCTTGATAGAAGAGCACGTACGCGCACGCCAACCCAGGGCGGTCTCCAAGAAATTACGGACGTAATTCTTGTCAACTGGTTCCACCATTTCGTCGTCGAAAAGGAGCCAACCCCTGTCCTCTGTTTTTATAATAGCAACGTAGTGGCCGTGATAAGGACCACCACCAATGTGGACAACGACGGCATAAAGCTCGTAGAGACGATCAGGATCTTCGGTGTCATCGGTAGTATTAAATAATCGAAGGTAATAGGGATACACCACTCTATGGAATAGCTTCTGGAGTCTTTGTAAATCCTCAGTGTATTTAAAGCGCTTCAAGTGAAGAGCTAAGATGCGCGGCAATCGTTTAATCTTCATCCGCTTTTCAGCTTCTTGCAGGCCCCCGCAATTGTCACAATGAAATTTATTGCGTTCACAGAGCATCTCCTCCTCCGAAAACTTTCGTAAACATGACGTTACTGACGAATGCTGATCAAGATCGACCGACAAATCTAAAAAAACTTCATCTCGCTGTGATACGTTCTCACACGTAAGGCATTGCGTTTCCGAGGTTAAAGTCCCTTCAAAAAGTTCATGTACCCATCGTGTGTTATTGGGTGATTTAGAGGTATTGGAATTCGTGAGTGTCGTTGCTACAGATCCAGTGGTTGTGGCGTTCGTGGACAACTCACCACTCTCCGACTGCTGGTCTATTTCTGGAGGTAGTGAACGTTCGGCTTCTGCTTCCACATTGGCAACCACTTCGTTTAGTAGTAGATTAAGAAATTCATGCGCGTCCTGGTGCATCGCTGTTCTGAACATTTCATGTTCTCGTCGTAACACTTCGAGGAAGCTGTAAGGACGGATGACGCCCATCCTCTCCTGAGTGGCAACTATAGCCTCGAAAATATCTTTCAGAGACGTAAAGAGCGATTCTTGCATCCCATAGCTCATGGCATTGTCTCTTGTTTCTAAGATTGGAAGTCTATGCATCGCAACTTTTTTCTTGTATTCCGGTGAGTCCTTATCCTCCGGTTTAGGCGGCTGTTGCGCAGGGGGGACTACGCCACCCTTGACGGAAGGATTACCGGTTGCCTTTTGTTTAGCATCTTGTTTATCCTCCATTGGTGCGTTTGGGTCTGGGTAGTGTAAATTTTTGGCGAGGGATTCGTTGAGTGTTTCTATGGGGGAGCGTCTTGGGTAGTTGATAACGGATTCTCGAAAAGCGACTAAGGTAGTAAAGACATTGAAGAATAGAATTGCAATACCTCTTACGTCAGCACACGGATGCTACAAACAGTCATTCCAGCTGAATAAGACTACCATGTATTTCCGTATGAGCCTACATGATGAAAGCAAATATTAGCATCCTGCATCTCCCAAAATTTCAAAATGGACAAGGAGAAATTCCAAAGCACTCACGTTTTCCATCCCGAAAAATTTGTCACTGCCATCATTCCGCAACGGGCCCGCATCTTGCAGCATCTTCTCCAGGGGCGTCATCGGTGCGGGGAGAACATATTTCTTGACCGAGGAAGAGGTGGAAGCTTGAGTTCCGGTTCCCTAGAAACATCAAAACATTCCCACATGTCAGATACAATATACAGGGAACAAAATCTTTAACGAGGAGCGTACCGTATTGCCTCTTAACTTTCCGAAGAAGGGCGCCATATTGAGAGTGAATATACAGCAGCACTGCGACCCAACCCGCCACTTACCGCCGCAGTGCGGCAGACCTCGATCGTCAGGTTCACGAGAGTGTCTCTGGAAGTCTATTCAGAGCCTGTTTGTAGAAGGTCCGGGACTCGATTGAACTGAATGCGGAGAAGTGGAGATCGTTGTTGAGATGCTGTTGAGATGCCACGGCCCGGAGGATTGAACAAAATCGAGCGGGATGGAGGATGGCAAATAGAATGCCACTTCCGGAAGGAAAACTAGACCAAATTCGCCGGAGAAAGAGCCGTAGCCAGATCGTATTCAGAACTTCAGCGGCGGGAGACGGAAAGGGTTTGACTCCGCATAGGGTGAATACGGGGCGGTTCAGTACTGAGACACAAGGAGTGGATGAGGCTGACAACCAGGGAGGACAAGAAGAGACGGATAGTAACAGGCGCAACAAGGATGACCAGCACAGGAATAAGAGAAGAGACAGATATAAAGACAGACGACTCAAGAAGGGGAGGGAGGGCGGCGGAGGAGGGTGGGAGACCACACTGGGGAGGAGAAAGCCGCAGTGGGAAGGGGTTTGGGGGTACCTGGCCAGCCGATGGTCGTGGGGAGATACTTATCGGTACTTACTTCGCAGCTTGGTAGTGGGTGGCTAGCCCCAACTGTGGGAAAGCCACCGCGAACAGGAACAGCAGCAGATGGGGAGTGCCCAGCGCCTATCGAGGGTATGCATGTTATTCTAGGAACTTGGTTGACTAGTTATCCCGCCATTTCGGCGTTGATAGGGCTTCCAAGAATAACTACGCTCATGGAAACATTCCCTTTCAAGGCAGCTATCTTCTTCGCCTGTCTGATTCTGACTGTGAGTCTGACTGTGGCTATACACGATGGGCGCATCAATCGGTTCGACGGTTTAAGACTTAAATTAACTACGTAGTAGTATGGTTCTGTGCTATGGGATCAAAGTATTCCGTAGCGTCTGCTTTCTCTCACCACCAACCAGAACCATGCAACCCCTCCAGGAATAGGCTTGACAATTTCAAGGCCCCCGTCCGTCGTATGCCGGGTGATTGGCCACTTAGCACCAACTCCTTTGACAGATGCATTAAGCTGGTCCATAGGGAACGCGGTCGGCTACAACTACTACTTGTAAGGACCTCGGAGTTTCTTACAAAACGCCCATCGAACATTGATAAGCGCCCTGCCCCATCCCCGAGTAAACGGTTCTGAAGAGATATTTCGCCAACTTTAATGCGACTTGCTAGTCAAACTTAAGAAAAACCAAACAATACTGATGTTTCCACAGCTTCATCCACGAGGGTTAACCGCGGCGCTTGGCTGATTTTGGTCCTAGGACGGACTGAGGGAGCCTGCAGATGGGCTGATCTCGCATGGCGTAAGGCGAACATCGCCTATCATATTGATGAAGAA